AAATTGATGGGAAGATGGATGGAGCCAAATACAGGACAATTCTGGAAGAAAACCTGTTGGAGTCTGCAAAAGACCTGGGACTGGGACGGAGATTTATCTTCCAACAGGACAATGATCCAAAACATAAAGCCAAATCTACAATGGAATGGTTCACAAATAGACGTATCCAGGTGTTAGAATGGCCAAGTCAAAGTCCAGACCTGAATCCAATCGAGAATCTGTGGAAAGAGCTGAAGACTGCTGTTCACAAACGCTCTCCATCCAACCTCACTGAGCTCGAGCTGTTTTGCAAGGAAGAATGGGCAAGAATTCCAGTCTCTCGATGTGCAAAACTAATAGAGACATACCCCAAGCGACTTGCAGCTGTAATTGCAGCAAAAGGTGGCGCTACAAAGTATTAGCGCAAGGGGGCCGAATAATATTGCACGCCCCACTTTTCAGTTTTTTATTTGTTAAAAAAGTTTAAATTATCCAATAAATTTCGTTCCACTTCACGATTGTGTCCCACTTGTTGTTGATTCTTTCTTTCTTTCTTCTTTATGTTTGAAGCCTGAAATGTGGCGAAATGTTGAAAGGTTCAAGGGGGCCGAATACTTTACATATACAAGGCACTGTATATAAATAAACTTGCCTTGCCTCATGAAGCAAGGAAGAGAATGTGTTTCGGGTCGCAGATCAATCACAACACACCACTGGCCCCCACTTTCGTGAGAAATCTACAGGTCCGTTAGCATAGACGGCTGAGTTAGCACAACAAGTGGCGGAGCTAACCTTAAGCTTCCTCGTCTTCATCACCGGTTACTGCTTACACAGCGAAACAGCCATCCAAAAGAAAGTCTCGTTCCTCCGCGCTTCCCGGTTCTATCGTTCTATGGTCACGCCATCCACGTGATAATCCATGTCCATGTATTATCCATTTGGGAGACGCTAGCTCTGTCCCAACAGTGGGTGTGTGTGGGGGGGCGATAGCTTCGTGAGTGCGGGGAGGGGAGCAGAAAGAGCGAGGCCAGCGAGTCCACGGCTTCAAAATCCCAAAGTCAGTTAGTGCAGCTTTAAGCGCCATCGGCCCGGGATAGTATTGCAAGTAGGTCAGCACACGTCATTTTGGACATTTTTGAGCCAGGACCCGCCCCCACTGGTCTCTCTCCGCTTTTTTTATTTATATTTTCATATTTTACAATTAGTGGAACTCTGCTCTCATGGATCAGTGATGTTACAGATTGTTGGATAATCACCGTTTTTTTCTCTCAGAAATAATTCTGTTTTTCTGTGAAATCAGAAACTTTGATGAGTTTTGTTGTTGAGCCGTAACGTCTGATGAGACAGAGACAAAATCAATTGCAAAAGTTTTGGCTTGGAAATTACTTATAACTTTCAAACCAAAACTCTAAATTATGAAGAAACTAAAATGGAATTTTAGTCAACAAAAATGCACAACTTATTTTCTGAAACATGTTGCTCGTGACATTTGTATAAATAAGGACATTGTTGTACAAATATTTACAGTATTAGCGCTTGTAGCCGACGATGACACGAGTAGCTTCCTTACTTTAGCCTCCTTTACCGTTCATGTCACTGTCACATGAATGTTACACAGACATTGGAGCAATCTTGTTTTAAGTAATATCAATTGGCACAATAAAACAAAATAAAGTTGAAGCAAAGAAATGTAAAGTGTTGGATTTTTTTTTAATGCGTGTGATGTTGTTAGAGCAAATGAATCACCTCAAAGCTTGGAACTGTGGAGACCCACAAAGTTGTATTCGGGCTGAGTTTTTCCACTCTGTGGCTGTATGGTTCTGTGAGTTTTGAGGCATCCTGTTCTGAGTGGAGTGCCTTGCTGTATGTTAAATAGTGTGTAGCTGAAACAAATAAATAGTGGAGAGCTAAGTTGGCATCAGACACTGTCTCCTGTCTCATACTTTTCCCAACTCCACACTGGGGACGACGTGAGTAACGTTTCACTACCACCATGTCAAACGACGGTGCGTTATGTGGAAGTGGCTCCTCCCGGTGCTATCCATGCGGTGGCCGTCAAGTTGCCCGAGTTTTTTGCAGCATAACCCGCAACCGTGGTTTCAACACATCGAAGACCAATTCCAGCTGAGAGGGATAACACAGGATTTCATGAAATACTATAATGTTGTGGTAGCATTGGATGCATCAACAACAGCGAGGGCGATGATGCTGTTGGAGGATCCACCTGCCGAGGACAAATACGCTGCTCTTAAAAAATTTTTGCTGGGACTATACGAACTCTCTGAACTCAAAAAGGCGGACCGTTTAATATCACTAAATGGCTCTTTGTGCATGCTCTGCTCCCGACCTATCCGCACGCAATTGTTTTGCGCAGTTTCATGAAGACACCCCTGGGACAGCTACTGCAGTGGCGGCCCGCCGTCAGCTGAGGTCCACCTTACGCACCTCCATTTGCTGCGTCTTAAATAGCACGGACTCATCATCAACACTTGTCACTTGCCCTCCTGTATTCACCCGGGCTGGATTTCTTCTTTGATTATCTTTTCGCTTTAGTTCCCTCTTCTCTTCCTCACTGTTGCGTTGTTTGGGCTGTTTTGCTGTGTATGCAGTTACAGCCGGAGGAGAATAGTCTCTCTCTCGGATCTCTATCGGGTCCCTCTCTTTCTTGTCTCTTTGGTCTTTCTTTGGTCTTTCTTTGGTCTTTGTCTCGTCTCTCTCTTGTCTCTGTAATGTGTTCAGGAGGCGGGTTGGCTGGTTACAATTACAATTGACCTCTTCGTTTTCATTATGAAAGAAGTAAAACATTAAATATGAGCCAAAAGAACAGACCGTAGATCCAGGACTGAGGCTGTAGACACAGTTAGGCTGGTCTCTCTCTCTCTCTCTCTCTCTCTCTCTCTCTCTCTCTCTCTCTCTCTCTCTTTTGGAGACGGGATGGAGACTTATAAACACTGGAGATTGTAAGCATGTATTTTTGTGTGATCTTCAACTTTGAGCTAAAGATCACAGAAAGATCTTGTCACGTTTCCAGGAGAAAGAAAACTCCTGCTCCTCAGTTCCTGCTCCTCTGCTCCTGCTTCTCCTGAGGAGCAAAACCAGGAGTTCAGAGACTTATGATCAGAGAACAGAGTATTTCTAACCTCTTTAACCTCAGACCCTGGAATGATTTGTTATCTTACTTTCTGTTTGAGTTCAGTGGAATCAGTCTGTTCTTCACTTTCAGTTCTGTAGAAGTCATCGACACTGCTTCTGTCACAACAGACAGACCCAAAGGGACAGAAAGTGACTCACAGGGACAGAAAGTAACACACAACAAGTTTTATTACTGTTTTAAAAGTCAGAGAGAGACCAGAGAGAGACCAGAGAGAGACCAGGGAGAGACCAGAGAGAGACCAGAGAGACTCCAGAGAGAGACCAGGGAGAGACCAGAGACACCAGGGAAAGACCAGAGAGAGACCAGAGAGAGAGAGAGAGAAGAGAGAGACCTGAAAGGGACCAGAGAGAGACCAGAGACCAGAGAGAGACCAGAGAGAGACTAGAGAGCGAATGATGTAAAGCAGGCATGTCCAAACTCAGGCCTGCGGGCCAATTGCAGCCCTCTGTGCCATTTTATGTGGCCTTTTTGCTGCTAACACAAAATGGCCACCAATACAGTCACGATATACCTTGGACCCTCTGAAATCCACTCGATTACTTTATTGTCACAAAATTCTAAATAAAATGCAGCTGTGGTGTGAATCAATAAGGATTTATCAAAACCCATTGTAAAGTCAAGAATCCAGTTGTTTAAATCCAGGTTGTCGGCCCCGGGTCGAGTCTGATGAACTAAAGTGGCCCTCTTGCAAAAAGGTTTGGACACCCCTGGTGTAAAGTACTTTTATTTTCTAAGCCCCTGGTGTCTTTCTACATGAGTTGGTCCAGAACCAAACCATAAAACCAGCCCGGAACAATAATTCAAAGTGTTTTCTGAGGAACTCAGTCAGACGTCAACTCAGTCAAAAATGTGACCTCCCGAACTGGTCGCTCTGAAGCCGGGAATAAATATGAGACGCATCAGCAAAGGCTGCGGTCACATGCGCAGCCTAAAGCCTGGTTAAAGTGTGCCAGGGCCCGCTTCACGATTAGATCAGGGCTTTAGGTGCCATCTGACCGCGGCATCCTGCACTTTCGTATTCTCCGCTGTGTCAAACCTTTCATATAAGCCCCGGGCCGTGCTCGAGGGGCGCTGGGGGAGTGTCTCTCTGCAGGGCCAAAGAAAAGCGTTTCCTATGGGTATATCTCTCTTCTGTCCTGACCCTTGCTCTCAGTGTGGTGCTATTGCAATAACACTTCAGACATTCAAGAATCAGTCTTTATTTAATCACCAGAACACACACACACACTTGTAACCTCCCTGTCTGCGGTCGCTCTGCTCAATTCCACATTTTTCATTCCTTCATTCTCATTCATTCATTTCTCAGCGCTCTTACGCTCGTTGCTAAAGAGTGTATGCATGTGTGTGTGTGTGTCCGCGACGCACACACACACACACGTGTGCACACAAATGTTACCCACTGAACTGCTGCACTTTGCATCAGAGCAATTTGGACAAGTTTGAGATGTATCTTTCCCTAAACAACGCGATCCGTACTGAGCGGTTAGCTACTGTAGCTGTTAGCTGTTAGCTACAGTAGCAGAATGTAAACAGGAAAAAAAGCGGATCTCAACTAGGGCAACAAGGTAGTCTCTGTGTTAGTATTAGCGCCACCAGCTGGACTGAGTGTTGTACTACAGCACAATTTCCCTGCCACGGTTCAGACAATGCGTTCATGTGACCCCGGGCCGTTTTCACACCCCTGTGTCGACGATCCGGGCCATTTGGCCTAGTACGTTTGTAAACCCCTATGTGGCCGTGCCCAGAGAGATGAGATTCAAGACTCAGAGACAAGACTGAGACTGAGAGACTAGAGAGAGACTCAAGAGAGACCAGAGAGGGACCAGAGGGAGAAACCAGACAGAGTCGAGACTGAAGAGTCAGAGAAATGAAGAAGGCAGCTGCAAAGAAAGCTGAGATCTCCAAAGGAAAAGAACACTCAAAACCGACACTTCCGACAAAACAGACCGATCCACCAAACTGGTCAAAGCCGAGACCCAGCAACTCCTTCACCAGGTCAGCGTGGTTGTTCATTTACTACATCGTTAACTCAGACTCATCTGTATCCTCCAGTGTCTCAGTCTCTCTCACTAAAACCTCTCTCGCTGTGTGTGTGCGTGTGTGTGTTTGTCTATCTGTGTGTCTGTGTGTGTCTGTGTGTGTGTCTGTCTGTGTGTGTCTGTGTGTCTGTCTGTGTGTGTGTCTGTCTGTGTGTGTGTGTGTCTGTCTGTGTGTGTGTGTCTGTGTGTGTGTGTGTCTGTGTGTGTGTGTCTGTGTATGTGTGTGTCTGTGTATCTGTGTCTGTGTGTGTCTGTGTGTATGTGTGTGTTTGTGTGTGTCTGTGTGTTGCAGATGAAGAAGCAGGTTGAGGATCTCGTCGGTCAGATGTTTGCTGAGTTCACTGCAACAGAATACGAGGAGAACGAAGATGGAGACAAATACATCTACGTGAGTCTGTTTCTACTCTACTCTTAGAATAGAGTAGAGCAAAGTAGAGCACAGTAGAGTAGAGTACAGTAGAGCACAGTAGAGTACAGTAGAGCACAGTAGAGCACAGTAGAGTACAGTAAAGTACAGTAGAGCACAGTAGAGTACAGTAGAGCACAGTAGAGCACAGTAGAGTACAGTAAAGTACAGTAGAGCACAGTAGAGTACAGTAGAGTACAGTAGAGTACAGTTGAGCACAGTAGAGTACAGTAGAGTACAGTAAAGTACAGTAATGCACAGTAGAGCACAGTACAGTACAGTAGAGTACATTAGAGCACAGTAGAGTACAGTAGAGCACAGTACAGTACAGTAGAGCACAGTACAGTAGAGCACAGTAGAGCACAGTAGAGCAGAGTAGAGCTGGTGATGACGGTCTCTGTGTGCAGGTCCGAGCGGGTGGAGAGGTTCTGCGTATCGTCGTCTCCAGAGACGGAAGCGTCCAGTTCTTTGGGGACGAGTGAAGCGTCCGTCAAACTGAGATGTTGTTTTGGAATCAATAAAGTTTGATACAATGTTTCTCTGTCTGTTCTGATCTGTCCTGCTTCAAAGAGTGATGTCACAAAACATGTTTAAGTTTAAGTTTATTAAGGAAAACCCCTAGAGATGAATCAACTCAAGGAACATGTGGCTCTGAACCTCGTCTCAGACGGACAGAAGTGAGACTGTAGACCCAGGACTGAGACTCAAGATCCAGGACTGAGACTGTAGATCCAGGACTGAGACTGTAGATCCAGGACTGAGACTGTAGATCCAGGACTGAGACTGTAGACCCAGGACTGAGACTGTAGATCCAGGACTGAGACTGTAGATCCAGGACTGAGGCTTTAGATCCAGGACTGAGACTGTAGACCCAGGACTGAGACTGTAGACCCAGGAATGAGACTGTAGATCCAGGACTGAGGCTGTAGATCCAGGACTGAGACTGTAGATCCAGGACTGAGACTGTAGACCCAGGACTGAGACTGTAGATCCAGGACTGAGGCTGTAGATCCAGGACTGAGGCTGTAGATCCAGGACTGAGACTATAGATCCAGGACTGAGACTGTAGATCCAGCAGGGGGCGCCAAAGAGGGATTTTAACATTTTTGTTTTGAAGTTGATCCATTTTTGATGAATCCACAAAACTCTCTCTGGCTGATTGCAAATGATGAATACAAGATGGTGTTGTAAATGTAAATGCCCCCCCCCTCCCCTCATCTCCCCCTCGTCTCCCCCTTCGTCTCCCCCTGTTCTCTTCCTCTTCTCGTTAAATAATTAACAGAGTTTGTACCTGTAGTTTAGCAGCTGAAGCTAATATTAGATTCACACTCACATCACAATCAGACAGAGAGAGACCAGAGAGAGAGACCAGAGAGAGACCAGAGCGAGCCCAGAGAGAGACCAGAGCGAGCCCAGAGAGAGACCAGAGCGAGCCCAGAGAGAGACCAGAGCGAGCCCAGAGAGAGCCCAGAGAGAGACCAGTGAGAGACCAGAGAGAGACCAGAGTGAGCCCAAAGACAGACCAGAGAGAGACCAGAGCGAGCTCAGAGAGACAGACCAGAGAGAGACCAGTGAGAGACACCAGAGACAAAAAATCCTGACCTTTTACAGTCTTAGTTTCACCTTTTTCCCCTCTCTCTGGCGTGTTGTCAGGTAAGAGAACAGGGGGAAAAAGACGCCATCAGTGTGAATTTACTTCTATCACAGACTTTTGGTAAATATCAACCTCAGAGGAACGTGCTCCGACAAGACTCAAAAAGATTTAAAGTTTTACGTAAATCTGGAGACACACACTGGTCTCTTTCTGGTCTGTCTCTGTTCTCTCTCTGGTCTCTCTCTGTGTCTCTCTCTGGTCTCTTGGTAGGAATATTGTGAAGTATTTTTCTTTTCAATTCACTGTTTTTTAAGAAAGACCAAAGAGAGACCAAACAGAGACCAGTGAGAGACCAGAGGGACCAGAGCAAGACAAGAGAGGGACCAGAGAGAGAAACCACAGAGAAGAACCAGAGAAAGAGCAGAGAGAGTCCAGGAAAAGAGACCAAAGAGAAAGAGAGACCAGTGACAGACCAGAGAGGCCAGAGAGACCAGAGAGAGCAAAGACAGACCAGAGAGAGACCTGGGAGAGAGATCAGAGAGAAACCAGAGAGAGACCAGGGAGAGACCAGAGAGAGACCAGGGAGAGGGGATGGAGACTTATAAACACTGGAGATTGTACTGTAAGCATGTATTTTTGTGTGATATTCAACTTCAAGTCAGGTTGGAGCTAAATACAGGCCATATGGAATTCACAGAAAGATCTTGTCACGTTTCCAGGAGCAAGAAAACTCCTGCTCCTCAGTTCCTGCTCCTCTGCTCCTGCTTCTCCTGAGGAGCAAAACCAGGAGCTCAGAGACTTATGATCAGAGAACAGAGTATTTCTAACCTCTTTAACCTCAGACTCTGGAATGATTTGTTATCTTTAACATCTTACTTTCTGTTTGAGTTCAGTGGAATCAGTCTGTTCTTCACTTTCAGTTCTGTAGAAGTCATCGACACTTCTTCTGTCACAGCAGACAGACCCAAAGGGACAGAAAGTGACTCACAGGGAAAGAAAGTGACACACAACAAGGTTTATTACTGTTTTAAAAGTCAGAGACACCAGAGAGAGACCAGAGAGAGACTCGAGAGGGACTAGACTAGACCAGAGAGACATCAGAGAGAGGGACCAGTGAGAGAGATCAGAAAGAGAGACCAGAGAAAAAAAATCCTTAGTTTTTTCCCTCTCTCTGGCGTCTTTTTCTCCCTGTTTTCTTACCTGACAACACACACGTTTGAACAGTGTTGTCATCAGTGTGAATTCACTTCTATCACAGACTTTTGGTAAATATCAACCTCAGAGGAACGTGCTCCGACGAGACTCAAAAAGATTTAAAGTCTGTTTTTGTTTTACATAAATCGGGAAACACACACACACAGACACACACATAGGACTGATGCTGTTGACCCAGGACTGATGCTGTAGATCCAGGACTCGGGCTGAGGAGTCCCAGGATTCGGGTTGAGGAGTCCCAGGACTAGGGCTGAGGAGTCACAGGTCTCGGACTGAGGACCCCCAGGACTCGGGCTGAGGAGACCCAGGACTGCAGCTGTATGGACCCAGGACTGAGAATATAGACCCAGGACTGCGGTTTTCAACCCAGGACTCGGAAAGAGGAGTCCCAGGACTGCGGCTTTAGACCCAGGACTGAGGCTGTAGACCCAGGACTGCGGCTGTAGACCCAGGACTGCGGTTATAGACCCAGGACTGAGGCTGTAGACCCAGGAATGCGGCTATAGACCCAGGACTGCGGTTTCCGACCCAGGACTGCGGTTTCCGACCCAGGACTAGGGCTGAGGAGTCCCAGGACTCGGGCTGAGGAGAGCCAGAACTCGGGCTGAGGAGTCCCAGAACTCGGGCTGAGGAGACCCAGGATTCGGGCTGAGGAGATCCAGGACTCGGGCTCAGGAGTCCCAGGACTCGGATTGAGGAGTCCCAGGACTCGGGCAGAGGAGATCCAGGACTCGGGCTGAGGTGTCCCAGGACTCGGGCTGAGGAGTCCCAGGGCTCGGGCTGAGGAGTCCCAGGGCTCGGGCTGAGGAGTCCCAGGACTCGGGTTGAGGAGATCCAGAACTCGGGCTGAAGAGTCCCAGAACTCGGGCTGAGGAGACCCATGATTCAGGCTGATTAGAGCCAGGACTGCGGCTATAGACCCAAGACTGAGGCTGTAGACCCAGGAATGCGGCTATAGACCCAGGACTGCGGTTTCCGACCCAGGACTCGGGCTGAGGAGTCCCAGGACTCGGGCTGAGGAGATTCAGAACTCGGGCTGAGGAGTCCCAGAACTCGAGCTGAGGAGACCCAGGATTCAGGCTGATTAGAGCCAGGACTGCGGCTATAGACCCAGGACTCGGGCTGAGGAGTCCCAAGACTTGGATTGAGGAGTCCAAGGACTCGGGCAGAGGCGATCCAGGACTCGGGCTTAGGAGTCCCAGGACTCGGGCTTAGGAGTCCCAGGACTCAGGTTGAGGAGATCCAGAACTAACGCTTTAGACCCAGGACTGCGGCTGTAGATGTCACAAATGTGAGGTTCTTTGATCAGCTTGATAAAACCCACTGCTGAATGACGACACAGTTTTGATCAGATAAGATTTATTTACAGAGAATAAATAAGGTTAAAAAAGCCGGGCCTTACGGATCAAAAGTCTGTACAAAAAAAAAGCTAAAACCCTAGAGCCTTCGTCTCCCGGATTGTACTGTCCCGGGCCAGCTGTCCTCCCGGTAGTGTGCGTCCGCTCTCCCACGCCTCTGCTCCTGCAGTCCCCGGGCCGTAGCGCGTCTGTGGCCTGTGTCCCGCTGTGGAGAGGACCGGGGTTTACACGCTGTCCAACACTGTTCAAAGTGCTCAGATCGCAGTGTGAGGATTCGTATACGTCCCTTTACTAATCTCATTCCCAGCGTTGTATGCCGCCTTGGCTTGCCCGCACCGCTGCTCAAGTCTCTACTCCATGTCTGCTCCTGTTGACCCCAGTCCGCTGCGCGTCTGTGGCCTGTGTCCAGCTGTGGAGAGGACCGGGGTTTACACGCTGTCCAACACTGTTTAAAGTGCTCAGATCGCAGTGTGAGGATTCGTATACGTCCCTTTACTAATCTCATTCCCAGCGTTGTATGCCGCCTTGGCTTGCCCGCACCGCTGCTCAAGTCTCTACTCCATGTCTGCTCCTGTTGACCCCAGTCCGCTGCGCGTCTGTGGCCTGTGTCCAGCTGTGGAGAGGACCGGGGATTACACGCTGTCCAACACTGTTCTAAGTGCTCAGATTGTAGTGTGAGGATTCGTATACGTCCCTTTACTTATCTCGTTTCCAGCGTTGTCTGCCGCTGCCGGGGGGGGGGGGGGGGTCCAGCCCGACGCGCCGCTCCTTTGCCACTCGTGAGTGTCTACACAGCCTCGAACCCGTCCAGTCTCCGTCCGGCGTCTGCTCTGGCTTCGGTTCTCCTGCGCTGCGATCTAAGACGCTCGCTCCTGTAGCTCCTTCCGTGCGCCTCGGTCGTCCCCTGACATCAACCTGGCTGATTACCACCAATGGCATGTGGTGGGGGTGTGGTCCATGGTTTCCTCTCTACATTGTCTTTTAAAGAAAACACTGCAACCCACACTAAAAACAGAACTCAACACTGCATGCACTATATGTAAGGTCGGAAACCCCATGCCACTGACATAGACACAGGACTGCGGCTATAGACCCAGGACTGCGGCTTTAGACCCAGGACTCGGGCTGAGGAGACCCAGGACTGCGTCTGTATGGACCCAGGACTCGGGCTGAGGAGTCCCAGGACTCGGGTTGAGGAGTCCCAGGTCTCGGACTGAGGACCCCCAGGACTCGGGCTGAGGAGACCCAGGACTGCGGCTGTATGGACCCAGGACTGCGGTTTTAGACCCAGGACTGAGAATATAGACCAAGGACTGCGGTTTTAGACCCAGGACTGAGAATATAGACCCAGGACTGCGGTTTTAGGCCCAGGACTGAGGCTGTAGATCCAGGACTGCAGCTGTAGACCCAGGACTGCGGCTTTAGACCAAGGACTGAGGCTGTAGACCCAGGAATGCGGCTATAGACCCAGGACTGCGGTTTCCGACCCAGGACTCGGGCTGAGGAGTCCCAGGACTCGGCTGAGGAGATCCAGAACTTGGGCTGAGGAGACCCAGGATTCGGGCTGAGTTGAGCCAGGACTTCGGCTATAGACCCAAAACTTGGGCTGAGGAGTCCCAGGACTCGAGCTGAGGAGTCCCAGGACTCGGGCTGAGGGGTCCCAGGACTCGGGCTGAGGAGACCCAGGACTCGGGCTTAAGAGTCCCAGGACTTGGGCTGAGGGGTCCACGGTTTCGGGCTGAGGAGACCGAGGACTGCGGCTGTATAGACCCAGGAATGAGGCTTTAGACCCAGGACTGAGGCTGTAGACCCAGGACTCAGGCTGAGGACACCTGGACTCGGGCTTTAGACCCAGGACTGAGGCTGTTTACCCAGGACTGATGCTGTTGACCCAGGACTGATGCTGTAGACCCAGGACTCGGGCTGAGGAGTCCCAGGATTCGGGTTGAGGAGTCCCAGGACTCGGGCTGAGGAGTTTCAGGAATCGGGCTGAGGAGTCCCAGGACTCGGGCTGAGGAGACCCTTGACTCGGGCTGAGGAGAGCCAGGACTGCGGCTGTATAGACCCAGGACTGAGGTAGTAGACCCAGGACTGTGGCTGTAGACCCAGGACTCCGGCTATAGATTCAGATTCAGATTCAGATTCAGATTCAGATTCATTTATTTGCCATTTGCAGTAAAACCACATTGGAAAAACTGTGCAAGACTACCCCGGTGTGCCAAGAGACCCAGGACTGTAGCTACAGACCCAAGACTCGGGCTGAGAAGTCCCAGGACTTGGGCAGAGGAGATCCAGGACTCGGGCTGAGGAGACCCAGAACTCGGGCTGAGGAGACCCAGGACTGAGGCTTTAGACCCAGGACTTGGGCTGAGGAGTCCCAGGACTCGAGCTGAGGAGTCCCAGGACTCGGCTGAGGGGTCCCAAGCCTCGGGCTGAGGAGACCAGGACTCTGGCTGAGGAGATCCAGGACTGAGGCTGTTTACCCGGGACTGATGCTGTTGACCCAGGACTGATGCTGTAGACCCAGGACTCCGGCTGAGGAGTCCCAGGATTCGGGTTGAGGAGTCCCAGGACTCGGGCTGAGGAGTTTCAGGAATCGGGCTGAGGAGTCCCAGGACTCGGGCTGAGGAGTCCCGGGACTCGGGCTGAGGAGACTCTTGACTCGGGCTGAGGAGAGCCAGGACTGCGGCTGTATAGAGCCAGGACTGAGGTAGTAGACCCAGGACTGTGGCTGTAGACCCAGGACTCCGGCTATAGACCCAGGACTGTAGCTACAGACCCAAGACTCCGGCTGAGAAGTCCCAGGACTCGGGCTGAGGACACCCAGGACTCGGGCTTAAGAGTCCCAGGACTCGGGCTGAGGGGTCCACGGTTTCGGGCTGAGGAGACCGAGGACTGCGGCTGTATTTACCCAGGACTGCGGCTGTATAGACCCAGGAATGAGGCTTTAGACCCAGGACTGAGGCTTTAGACCCAGGACTCCGGCTATAGACCCAGGACTGTAGCTACAGACCCAAGACTCGGGCTGAGAAGTCCCAGGACTCGGGCTGAGGACACCTAGGACTCGGGCTGAGGAGACCCAGGACTCGGGCTTAAGAGTCCCAGGACTCGGACTGAGGGGTCCACGGTTTCGGGCTGAGGAGACCGAGGACTGCGGCTGTATATACCCAGGACTGCGGCTGTATAGACCCAGGAATGAGGCTTTAGACCCATGACTGAGGCTATAGACCCAGGACTCAGGCTGTACACCCAGGAGTACGGCTATAGACCCAGGACTGCGGCTATAGACCCAGGACTTGGGCTGAGGAGTCCCAGGACTTGAGCTGAGGAGTCCCAGGACTCGGGCTGAGGAGTCCCAGGACTGCGGCTGTAGTCCCAGGACTGAGACTCTAGACCCAGGACTGCGGCTGTAGACCTAGGACTGCGGCAGTAGACCCAGGACTGAGACTCTAGACCCAGGACTGAGGCTGTATATTAATAAAGCTTACTCAGATCCAGCTGAAGTGCAAGAATCATCTTTAAAGGCTTTTTGTGGGAACTTTTGGTACATTTTTTTTAGTGTTATCGGAAACCGGAGTGCCCGGAGAAAATCTACTGACACAAGGAGAACATGCAAACTCCACTCCGAAAGGTCCCTTCTGGCTGAAAGTTTTTTTTTGGAAAGTCATTCACTACTCAAGTATGTTGTTAAATTAGCTTGAGTGAATATTTTGGCTATTCTAGCCACGTCTGGGAATGTATTTAAGTGACATATGAGGTCGAGTGTGTGTGTTAAAAGTGTGGTAAGGTAGTTCCATGCACGACCATAGGGGGCGTATCAAACCTTTATGGGACGGAGTGTTTCGGCCCCGACACATATTTTCACAATTTGCAGACATTTATGGACATGCTTGATTTTTGGTGTGGAGCTTATTTTGGGCCTTCACAACACTATAGTATACATGGAAAAATGGGGACCTAAAATAGTCCCTGTATTTCCTCAGGTCCCTGTATTGAAGGTGTGTTATCATACAAAAGTCCTCATATGTACACAAAACACACACACACACATTTTTTGTGCTTTTCCATTAAAAATAGTTCCTCTTCAGCGTAGGTGGGGTTGTCAGACCACGTCATTTATGCGCGACATGTAACCAGTAACATTGATGCGGTGCATAGATTTATTAAAATATTGGTGATAGCTGGTTATTACCTCTGAGGGGACTCTGCTTACCCCCTGCAGAACTGGCTCCTAAAACCTTTTCAGGACACCGAGTGACAGACTAACAGCAAGTATTTAATAGAAAATTCTGCACAGCGCGAGTGCTTGTTGAAAATGCTTTCGGCAGTGTTAAAGGAATGACCCGGACACTGAACATGTGAAGTCAATGGTGCTGACCTGCTCTGGTACAATCTGTGAAAACCATGGAGAGACCATGTGACAGAATGGGACACACCTGTAGCAACAGCAGCTGTGTAGCAGTGGTGCAGGGGAGGGTCTGATGCATCACTTTGTCATGTGCCTAAACATTTATTTTGACCAAAAATAAAACCTTTTTGTATTTACCATCCATCCTTGTTCATAAATTTACCAAGGTTATACGGATTTACTGACAAATATAATGTGTGTAATGTAACTAGAAGTAAAAGTATGTGGTAGGAAATCGTAACTTTTGTTTTCTGCACGTGTACAAATGAATGAAACAAAGTCTTGATACAATCACAGATTTATTAAAAACAAAAGTAAAGTGCAAAACCAACAGTTTACAAAGTCCAAAGTATGTCTGAGACCAGGTCCAGATGAGGAGAATGTTAAGTACTCCGGTCACTCGTTGGTAATCTCCTCACTTGTGGAAAGGGATTCTCAAATAAATAAACACACGACAACTTAAGTACAAGCACAAAACAGAATGACAACACATGAAAGAGCAAGATACAGCACAGTAGAACAGGACGGACGTTTTAGCTTTGATTGCTATCACTAGCTAAATGTAGCTAGCTCACTGTGTACAACAGACAATCACACTTTTACACAGTAAATACATTTCAGTGAGAGCTTTGGGCCAACTGGATACGTAGCTAACCAGTTATTTCCAGGATTTAATCAAGAGCGATCTCCCTGAAAACCTTGTTCCGTGTGCCGTGTTCCGTCGAGCTTCCTTTGAATTATTTCTTCGGCCTAAAGAGAGTAACGTGTGGATCTCGTCGACCGACCAGGGCCTTTTGGGGCTTTCTGTGCGATTCCATTTCCTTGGAGTGAGGAGGACGTATTATAGCCTATTTAGGGTTGCCAACCGTCCCTTGAAATACGGAATTGTGCGGCTTTTGTCCCGTATTTTCAGAGCCACCTTAAATGCATCACTCACTCACTCACTGCATGTCACACACGCACACACACAATAATCACAGTTTAAGCGTCGACCTTTCGGCCAATCAGTGTCAAAGGGGCGTTGGCTTGATCACATACATGGGTTTAATGTTGACAATCGCCGGCTTGGGCCGTGCCCGCAGCACCAATACAGCAGAAGTTTGGTAAAGTAGCGTCATTTTCCCAGATTCTGACTTCCGCGGTAAATAGCTCACGAAAGCTACTTTAATAAACAAAAGTAATTGTACTAAAATGATCATCTCTACGTTGATTTTTCAAATCCAATGCGCTGTTTTAATGCAGAGAAATCCTATGAATCCCCTGCACTGCAAGAGCCGAGAAAAGCGCTTAGGGGCCGTCAACAAATATTCAGACCAGCTTTGTAAACGAACAATAGCTTTTACTGAAGTCATGTACCTGCACAAAACTCTCAGACTCTATAAATAATGACCATGTCTAACTGCTACAGACTTTGATTTGTGAGTTTTTTTTATGAATACATATGTTTTTATTTTTTATTTGCTTTTAGAGTAAATGGTCTTTACTGTAACATTCATAAATAATGTATGTTACAGCATTTGTCTGTTTATAT